AAGCATCTAAAGTATCTAAAAAACAAAATTTAAAATACCTAAAACAACCTGTAACAAGTAAACAAATATCAAAAAAAAAAATACCTTTGGGAGATCAGGAAAGAATTGACCTTTTGAGAGAGTTGAACTTTTCAACACGAGAAATAAGAAAGTCATTTGATGTTGGTTCTTCCACGGTATCTAAAACTTGTAAAAGAAAAAGAGAAACAGGAGAGATTAAAGATCGAGAAAGATCCGGACATCCATGAATCCTAACACCTAATGATGAAAAAAAAATAATCAATATATTGTCTGCAGAAAAAAGCTCAACAGCGATTAAGATCTATTCAAAGTATGTGGCTGAAATGGGCAAACATATTTCAGTAGAAACTATACGAAATACATTAAGAAGGTGTGGCTATAAAGCCAGGGTTAAATCTAGAAAACCTGCAATAAATGAAAATGCCAGATTAGAACGTCTTCGTTTTGCCAAAAAGCATCTTAAATGGACTGCGGATAATTGGAGGAAGGTTGTTTTCTCTGATGAGAGTAAATTCATACTTTTTGGGTCTAATTTTTGTAAATATTGCTGGAGAAAAAAAAGAGATAAATTAGAATCTGATTATGTTAATCAGACCAAAAAATTTGGAGGTGGAGGTATAATGGTTTGGAGCTGTATAATTTTGCGTGGTGTTGGTGAGATATGTCGCATCAAAACTCATCTAAATAATAAAGGTTATCGCATAATTCTGGCCAAAGATCTTTTTGGCACCTTACTTGAACATGACTTAGATCTTAAAGATGTTATTTTACAGCATGATGGGGACCCAAAGCACAGAGCAACAGATACGAAAAACTGGATCAATCAAAGAAATATTAATACCCTTAAATGGCCTCCATATTCTGCTGACTTAAACCCAATAGAAAATGCTTGGAGTGAAGTAAAAAAATGTCTGGAAGAGCGTCTAAAAGAGCTAGAGCAAGAGCAAGGATCGGCCACGAAAAAAGAAAAGCTAAATAAATTGTGGAAAATGGTAGAAAAAGAATAAAAAAAAATTGATATTAATTTTATTGCCAGTCTCTATGATTCTATGCCTCGAAGAATGGCTGCTGTGATTGCAAATGATGGTCTTTACACAGATTTCTAAGTAGAAAATGGTTACACGAATATTGGATGATTGTCACCAGTGTTAAAAATTCGGCACTTTTGTGCAACAAATTTTTTTTATATGTAAATGTTATTTTATTTTTTGTGCATTTGCACAGCGTATTGTTAATTTTGTGGAAATAACAATTGTCACCAACTACCCCAGCATTAGTGTCCAGGATTATGCTGCAAATGATAAATTCAGTCAGGCATATTACCAAAGATGGAAATCGATTCTAGATCGTTCCATTGAAATATGGTTGGCTGCTTTTTGCTAAATTCGGTTACATTTTGTGGCATTTTGCAATAGCTAACCATGACAAATAATTTTATAAATATAAAGTTGAATGTTCAAAATTTCATGATCAGCATTGATCCCATTGGGATTAATCCTTTATTTCAATGTGTGTAAAGACTCAAAAAAATTTATAACTTTTACTATTCTTTTCTATTAAAATTTACAATTTATTTCACTGATTAATATTATAACTCTTGTAATCGAAACAAAAGAATCACTTGATCTGCTTTTCTATAACATAAAAGGGCGATCTACATTGCCAGGATTGCTAAAGCGGGGCAATTAAAAAAGTTACTTTTTGGATGCAGTTAGGGTAGATGTTTTATTTAAATTCAAAAACACAATTATATAGTATGTAGATCCTTATATTGAATTTATCCCGCTTTAGCAGACCCCATTTTTGGTAATGTGTCTGACTGAATTTAGCAAAATTATGCAAGTTTTTTTTACCTAAATTATGCTCATATTATGCACTATCTTGGAAATTATGTAAAATATTCGAAAATGTTTTTTTATCAGAAATTGAAATTAAAGTCAAAGATTAGTACTATTTATTTTTTTTTTACTGACGCAAATTTTATGTCAATATATACAATATTTAAAATCTATGTAAAAAAAAATATATGAAAATTCGATCAAAGAAAAAATAAATGTTGCACAATAAAAATGGATATCTTTTTACGAAATTTGGACTTATTTTGATATGAAAACTTAAAAATTTTTGGGGTATTTTTTTTTACTGCTTTTTTTTCTAGAGTTAGATTAGGATTTAGAGTTAGAATTAATAATTAAAAAGCATACATAAATTTTAGAGGCTCATATTTTAAAATTGAGATCCCAAATTTCAGCATCAGCTGCGACAATTAATATCGCCATAATCATTTTGAGTATAATCTTATTCCCATATTTCGTAGACAGAATTTCTAAAAATTCTAGAGTTGGAAATCGTCCATCATACATACTCGAATGAAATAACCCGAACAATCGACAGTAATAAGAGTTATACATTCCTATAAAAGATAGTAAAATAATTAACAATGTCCCATCAAATGAATCAGAGAACATATTATTAATAAAATCATCTATGACTCTAACATACCGGAATGTGATACTCCAAGCCTCATCGCTGTACAATTTAGTAAATTCTGAAAAGAAATGTTAAGATTAGAACGATAATCCCCGATCACTATATCAAGATCACGGAAGGATTAATTAATAATACCCTGACTGTATGTGAATAAGCGGAAACTTCATTTCCGCTAATTCCTAACAGATCAGGTTATTATTATTACAAATATCTAGAAAATAAAGAGAAAATTATCAGTAAAGCCCTTAATACAAATGTGGGACAATAACGGAGTTAATAAACAAAATACTTCCAGCACTGTGATGAAGTCAACCCTTATCTTCAAAGTTATCACCTGGAATTAGAATAAGAATACTGAAATAGCTAGACAAAGTTATTGCAACAGTTAGTAAATTCTTAAAAGAACACAACAGTAATAATAAAGAAAAAAAAGATACTTATCATGTATTAAATGCCCTTTCTTAAAAATTAGCTGCAGTAAAATTCTCTGATATAGAAACGATAGTCGAATCTGAAGATAGGGATTGGAACTGCCTAAAGTTTTTCTTAATCGTTTAATCGTTTAATTTGGCTAGCATTAAAATAATTCCAGCTCACAACCAACATAATTCCACCCAGAGACTATGGAGCAACTTTTAAACAGTTAAACGGTTCCAATCCCTACCTGAAGAGAGTGACGAAATATAGAAAAAAAAACTTAGTTAATAAAATATTAATGGAGAGAAAAGATAACAACTATAAAGAATAGATTGATAAACAACAAACTTATCTTGTTCAACCGAATTATCATCAAGAGACATCGAAAGCTAAACGACTTTTTTGACGAATTTCCTCCATTGATAAAAATGTTGATAAAACTAAATACATACATACAATATATATAAATTAGCTCTGACGAACTCAAACTAAAGAGACTCTGGCCAGTATAATGTATACGGTCACGATAGTATCATCACTCACACTCGACACCGTAATAAGTGTACTCTAGACTACTTACTAAAAACGATTTTGAACTATGAATTCACTCTATTGATAAAAACGTTGATAAAACTAAATAATATACAATAAATTAGCCCTGGCGAACTCAAACTAAAGAGACTCTGGCCAGTATAATGTATACGATCGCAATAGTATCATCGCTCACACTCGACGTTGTAATAAGTGTACTCTAGACTACTTATCAAAAAACGATTTTGAACTACGAATTCCCTCCATTGATAAAAACGTTGATAAAACTAAATAATATACAATAAATTAGCCCCGGCGAACTCAAACTAAAGAGACTCTGGCCAGTATAACATATACGGTCACGATAGTATCATCGCTTACACTGATTTCGACTAATAATAGTAAATAGAAAAAAAATTAGTATATTTAACTCACATATGACGTTATAATAGGTAAGAAAAAATTTAATACATCAAGCTAAATTATAATTTACTGTTATTAAACAAAAAAAGTAGTTCTTAAATACAGTAGTGTTTGTTTGGTTTGTTTTGAATTTTCCTGATCGCGTATCGATATACGTACCGTTTTACTTATTTGCATAGGTGATACAATCCAAAAAAAGGAAGGATAACATCATTATTCGAACAATGGTAATTTGGGCTGACACGTGCCACTTCTTGGCCCGTTATTCAAAAATTTTTACAGAATAATATATACTTATCTGTAAAATTTCATTTTCGACATTTTTAATTAGTGCACCAAGGTTGATTTAAACACTAGTTTTTGCATATTTTTGCCTTTCGGCCAGTGTTTATTTTTCATGTACCTACATCTGTGCGGATCCGATCAAATTGCTTTATTTTCAAAAAATCAAGTAATTTTAATTGGATCTGCACACATGCTTTTCTCTTCAAGTGTTTTGTTTTGATTTACCGATTTTAACAGCTAATGCCATATAGTAGACTTTCATCTGATTAGCTTATATAAATAAATTGCCTGGCGTAACAAAATGTAACAAAGATAATCAATTCAATACTAAATATATTTAAATCAATCTAAGTGACTCCACCATATGTTCTGAGTGCTCGACCATAGGTTCTGAGTGCTCTACCGTCGAATGTTCTGAGTGCTCCACTGTCAAATGTTCTGAGTGCTTCACCATAGGTTCTGAGTGCTCCACCGTCGTATGTTCTTCCCGCGAGTGCTCCCCTGTATGTTCCTGCGAATGCTCACCTATAAGTTTCCACGAATGCACCCCTATAAGTTCACGCGAGTGCTCTCCTGTATGTTCTTGTGAATGCTCTCCTGTATGTTCCTGCGAATGCTCCCCTATAAGTTCCCACGAATGCTCTCCCGTATGTTCATGATCCTCTGTGTGTTCCCGCTCCCCTGTATGTTCTCGCTCCCCTGTATGTTTCCGCGAGGGCTCTTCTAAGCCTACAAGTATCAGGTATTTATAAGAAAATTATTACAGTATATTAGTACAATTTTTACGATTAAAACACTACTATTAATTCTTAGTATGAGAACGCGAA